ACTAGATAATAAAAGTAATAATCTATCTGTATTTCTCCTCGTGTATGACATTGGTTCAGATTGTAGATCATTGGTTCACTTAGTCACTCTGTGGGATGCCCATTGCTCTGTTCTGAACTCTTATTCTGTTTTCTCCATCTGTCCTCTCTGTTGTTCTGTTTTAATTTAGTCTGTACTCACCCATGCACCCACAGTTTTAGAGTAATGGACGCTGGATGTAGATTGTCTGGATTTGAATTTAAGTCCTGCTATTTATTAGCTGTGTGTTCTTGGCTATATTACTTAACTTCTCTGTGCCGTGGTTTCCTCATCTGTAAGCTGTGAATAGTAATAGTAGCACCTTTTGGTAATTTTTAGAATAAAGCCTGACTCAGACTAAGTGCAATGAGTGTTATTGTTTGACATACACACCTATTATGCATTCACAGATATTATTTTACACATATATTCTTTAGAAAGATGTTTTTTTGAGACATTGTAAAAAGTCTCTAGCTAATTTCTAAAGAATTGCATTTCTCTAGTCTAAAAATGTGTCTAGAAATAGCAAACATTTACTGAATAAGTAATTGGATCAATGGATTGTCTAGAAAACATGCAAAACATGATTGCTAGTAATTTTTTAAATTTTTTTATTGATTGATTTTAGGAGGGAGGGAGGGAGTGAGGAAGGGAGAGGGAAAAAGAGAGAGAGAAAGGGAGAAAGAGAAAGAGAGAGAGAGATTTGTTGTTCCACTTATTTATGCATTTATTGGTTGATTTTTGTATGGGCACTGACCAAGGATCAAAACTGTAATCTTGGCATATTAGATTGATGCTCTATTCAGCTGAGCTACTGGCCAGGACATGTTTGCTAATACTTTACTAGTTTATTCTTTGGTATTAGTTTATTCGATAACAGTATTGTTATAGTATTAGTTTTGGTAAATGGTAGTCTGAAGATTTATTTTGAGGGTGTCTGAATAGTTTAAATGGTTTTTAATTATAAATGTGTTTTGTTTAATTTATAATTTAAAAATAATTTTAATTCAGGTAATAGTAATATGTTAAAATATATTTAAAGGAATCTCAGAATTTCAAGTCTTTCTAGTATGCTCTGTATTTATTTATTGATATGTGTATATCAAATTTATTTTCTATGTTGTTTGTACCACATTACCCTAAACAATTTCCTGAACCCACAAAATGTATTCCTTTAAACACATACTGAAAAATCTCTTCTTTAAAGCTTTTCTCAGTTTCATGGACTTATCACTCACTATAAAATTGGCGCTTTGTGTATGAATATCATTGATCATGAATTAAAAAGACATGAGCTTTGGCAAGAAGAACTTTCTAAGAAGAAGAAAGCTGATATCCTTTTAGAGTGGCATTTCACCTGCTATTGTTGCCTATTGCTATGAGCTTTGTATGAATGGGATTTTTTCCCCCCCATTCACAGTACATGAAAAATGCAAGAGTGTTTTTTTTTTTTTAAGGTTAAGATGAATATTGAAACTGTCAGAATGAGTATAGTTTGACATATACTTTTTTAATCTCATCTAACTTTGATTACTTGATGAGATAGAGAGAGATAAATTAGTGTTCTGGATACTGAATTGGTGAATCTCTAAGTAGCTACATCAATGCCTCCTAAGATCCTTTGGTTAGCAGAAGTCTGGCTCACTGGTGTTTCCTATGAAGTTCTTTCTCTGTGACTTTGATTAGAATGGGTATGAATTTGGTGATGAACCTATTACTGCCTTAAAAATGATTTAGTTAATAAGACTACTAGATTCTACTTCAGACAGATGATGCCCAGAATAATCAAAGGATGTGTATTAGGTTTAAACTATTTAGCACCCTCTTTAGAATAGATGTCAAAAAAAGAAATATACCAAAGTTAGAGGTAAACAAAATTTAAAAATTACATCTTATGGCCCAGGAGTGCTGGCTCCCAACTGCTCATCTGCCTGCCTGCCTTCTTGATTGCCCCTAACTGCTTCTGCCTGCCAGCCTGATCACCTCCTAACTACTCCCTGCCAACCTGGTCACCCCTAACTGCCTTCTCCTGCAGGCCTGAGTCCGTCCCCTCAACCCCAACTGCCCTTCCCTGGAGGTCCTGTCACCCCCACCTTCCCTCCTCTGCTGGCCTGGTCACCTTTAATGCCCTCCCCTGCAGGCTTGATTGCCCCCAACTGCCCTCCCTTGCAAGCCTGATCCCTCCCAACTGCCCTCCCCTGCTGGCCATCTTGTGGTGGCTATCTTTTGTCCACATGGGGGCAACCATCTTGTGTATTGGAATGATGGTCAATTTGCATATTATCCTTTTATTAGAGAGGATAGAGGCCTGGTGCATGGGTGGGGCTGGCTGATTTACCCTGAATGGTGTCCCAGATTAGGGTGGGCATTCCCTTAGGACGTGGGCTGCCTGAGTGAGAGGCCTGGTGGTTTGCAGTCCAGCCACGCCCCCCCTTCCCATCCCCCCCCCCCCCCCCCCCCCCCCCCGCAACCCAAGCATTTTTATTGGGATTTATCTTCTATAATGGAAACTTTGTAGCCTTGAGTGGAGGCCTGGGCCCACCCTTGCAGGTGGAAAGCTTGGCTTCCTCCATTGCCCAGGAAACCCAAGCTTCCTGCTCTCTCTGTGGCCACAGCCATCTTAGTTGGGTTAATTTGCATACTCACTCCTGATTGGCTAGTGGGCGTGACTTGAAGGTATAGCAGATGTATAGTCAATTTACATATTACTATTTTATTAGATAGGCTTGTTTTTAAGGCAGTAATAATTTTGGTACATGGACCCACTTGCTAATCTGTTGAAAGAGACTTGTGTACATACATAAAATATTTGCTTATGATTTCTGGGGATTCAAGTATTTGGTGAAGCCCCAAAATGTGTTCACCCAAGGACTCCAAGCACGTACTTAAATTCTTGGTTAAGAAGACCTGTTATGATACAATTATTATGCAGAGAATACTATTTTAGTTAAATTATTAGAGAAAATAACTGGATAATGTTGCCCATGAAGTTTAATAGCACTATTCTTCATAGTGTTTTCCAGTAGGGTTTCTTCTTTGCTTCAGTGAGTATGAAAGATCCTTAACTTGTTTACTTGATGAAGACCCTGACAACCAAACTTTGAGAAAAGAGTATGAAAAAACCTTTAAAAAATACCAGGGGCTTGTGGTAAAACAGGAACAGCTCTTACGAGGTACGAGTTCTTAAACACTGAGAAATACAGCAAAATGCTTACTTTATGTTTAGTTTGTTCCATTTTTTTTTTTGTCAGATTGGTAAAGGTAATAGAATAATTAAGAGTTTTATACATTTTAATATGCTACAAAACTTGTGTCTTCAGCATGGGTAATAATGTTTTAAATTTTACTCTATTATTTTCTAACAAAAAACCCGCTCAGTTTTTAAATGTGTAGATACTTGTTATTTATTTGCACAGAGATGATGTTTAATCCATTTTGTAAGCTTTTCATTAATAAGAATCTTGTCTTTCAATCCCTAATAAACTTTCAGCCTGCAGACTGAAAGGTTCCGGGTTCAATTCCAGTCAAGGGCACATGCCCTGGTTGCAGGCTCGATCCCTAGTGGGGGGCATGCAGGAGGCAACTCACCAATGATTCTCTCTCATCATTGCTATTTCTATCTCTCTCTGTTCCTTCTCCTCTGAAATCAATAAAAATATATTTTTTAAGAAAGAGTAACGGAGGGTCAAATATATGGTGACGGAAAGAGAGTTGATTTTGGTGGTAAACACAATGCAGCATACAGATGATGTATTATAGAACTCTATACTTGATACCTATATAATTTTATTAACTAATGTCACCCTGATCAATTTAATTAAAAAATAAAACAAATGGTAATGTTAGATATAAACCCAATTATATCAGTTATTATATTGCATGTAAATGGACTAAATACAATTTGGATGCCACATTAAGAAAAAAAAGGGGTGACTATTTATATATCAACTAGTATAGTGCCTGGAATACAGCAAGTACTTAATTATTGTGAGTTACCTTTCTAACCCAAATGTTTATTAAATAAATTTAATATGTATGTATATATTTCAATATATTTCATACTTATGCATATATTTTTTCTATTCATAAAGGTTTAGAGATGGTTTATAAGAATACATGAAATTAAATACTAAAAAATGAATAAAATTGAGGCCATAGGAGAGCAAAAAGATTATATTGACCATAATGGCCTACATAATTCTGGCAGAAAGTGTTCAAGTCTTAACTCTGAAGTTTTCTGTCAAGGCAAAATGTCAAACATTATCTGTTACATAATTCTGTCAAAAGGAACAATTATATGAGTTATGACAACCTAGTCACTTTTACAACAGGTATTTAAAAGAAATTTTACTTAGAACTAGTAGACAGTGACCTCAACTTTGTCTGGTATAACAGATATTACTGAATTTCATACAGGTTATTTCCTTTAGTGGTTGTCAGAAAATCAGTTTAAAAATGAAAAAGGTTTGAGAATCCTTAGATTCAGCTTAGTTGTATAATACGTTTTGGATTATAGCTCTTTTTAACATAGCAGCCTCTAGTTGTTGAAGTTTTACCTTGTTTTCTATATCTATAAAATTATTTTTCCCCACCTGCCTATTTTATTATTTGCTAACATATTCCTTTAATTTCCATTTGATTATTATACTATTAAGTGCTAAGCTCCAAGAGGATATGAATCATTGTCTTATTATTGTTCTTGTGTTCTTTATAGATCATAAAAATGTCATTTTTTATATATATGTTTTATTTTCTATAACATAGCATTTAATAATAACAAATGTTTTCTAATGAATAAACTAGTAACTAGTTAACATTTTCAAAATTATATATTCTCTTATAAGAACTACATCTATTATTTTATTAGGCAGGAATGATTTATTAAATTATTGATTCAATATGCCAATCTCATCTCGTTTGCTTTTCTAGTTGCTCTTTATTTGCTACTGAATCTTGCTGAAGATACACGCACAGAACTGAAGATGAGGAATAAGAACATAGTGCACATGCTGGTGAAGGCTCTTGATCGGGACAATTTTGAGCTGCTTATTCTAGTTGTGTCATTCTTGAAGAAACTCAGCATTTTTATGGAGAATAAAAATGATATGGTAACTTCCATTGAAACTGTCCATATTTGCCATTTTCAAGTTAGAATATTTTGATAAAAAGTAAACACATTATCCCCCTACTTAGATAATGCTAAATGAAAATTTAATAACAATAACTCTTTTAAATAGCTTTATTGGGAAATACATTTCAGATTATTTAATACTCCAGATAATTGAAGCTTATAGAAAAATATAAAAATCTTTTTCTAATCTTGTATAGAATGAATTTTTTCATATTAAACAGTATATATAGAAAGTAATTTAAACCTAAGTTGTGCTTCAGAGTTATCTGCCCTTATATAATTTTCCCCTACAGTATTTTTTTCTCCTGCGTTTCATAATTGTTTGTGAAATTTCAGTTTAGCCCAGTCTCTTTTTTCTCACTTACTGTTCCAGTTGGTAGGCATAAGCTATTGATTCTCTCCTTAATATTCCTTCTTCTATTCCAAGTGCTGTTTGTACCAGTTCATGCCCTCTTTCTTATACCTTCTTCATTTCTTGTTTGAATTATAGCAGTGGTCTTTGAGGCATACAATTTAATTGTATATTATTTCCCCTTCTGAAAATATGCATTATACAGAAATATATAAAGATAGAATAAAAATTACCTGCTTTTGCTATGTTATTTAAAAGTCTTTGTTAGAACAATGTTATATTTAAATAGATCAGATATTAACCTTGCCTTAATTCTAGTATTTGTTTATAATTTTAGCTATTATAAATAACACTTCAGTGGACACATTTCTACGTGTGTCTTTGTTCATATTTCTGATTATTTTCTTACTAGAGGCCATGTGCACGAATTCATGCACCAGTGGGGTCCCTTGGCCTGGCCTGCAGGATCAAGCTGAAACTGGCTCTCTGACATCTCTTGAGGGGTCCTGGATTGCAAGAGGGCGCAGGCTAGGCTGAGGGACTCCACTGTTGCATGATCTGGGCTGGAGAGGGATACAGGAGGTTGGTCAGCTGGGGAGAGACTGCAGGAGAGCTCCAGGGCATATCCAGTCTGTCTCGCTCAGTCCTGATCAGCCAAACCCCAGCAGCAAGCTAACCTACCAGTCAGAGCATCTGCCTTCTGGTAGTCACTGCACATCATAGTGAACGGTTGAGCGGCCTTAGCTTATCACTAGCTTATTACACTTTGATTGGTTGAATGGAGGACTGGACACTTAGCATATTAGGCTTTTATTATATAGGATGATATAGTCCTAAAAATGGAATTATTGGCTCATTGGTCTGAACTCCACTGAAAACCATTTGAGAACTATATGCTAATATAAGTCATTATGTTACTATGTATTATTGGTATAAATGGATTCTTCTTCAGATAGTCTAAATATACAATTTTCTTCCTACTCTTTTTTTCTTCTTTTAAAACAAATGAACTAAGAAGTAGCTTATGTTTATCAAATGACACAGAATGCTCTTTGAAAATCTGATTGATTTATCAGCTTCAGTAAGTGCCTTCAATTCTGATATTTGAAATATAAGAAATTTTATTTTACCAACAAATGTTTAGTATATGTCATCTTTATCATTATTAATTATTGATGATCACTGTATGCCTGATAATGCTTTATGATTGAATTTACTTAAGAGAAATTAATGAAAAACATTTTTTAAATTTATTAACCTTACATTTAAGAAGAATATGATGACATGGTGATATGTATACTCCTGAGGAATTAGAATGTGGTAAATAGTTGCTTTCTGTAGCTCTAAGTTGAAGTATAATCTTCTTTCTGTTGCTCTAAGTTGAAGTATAATCTTTATGTATTTAGATTAAGTTCACCTATAGTAGTAGGTTCACAAAATTTAAATTATTATTCAGCATGTATCTACTTTTTATTGATTAGATTAATATTTAATACACTACTGATAAGTTTATTCAATCAAAAATTACCTCAAGAATATTATTAAAATTATTTTCTGATAAGATCATAGATTCAGAATACAAATGGTCTCATCAAACCTCATTTTTTATTAAGAAGGAAAAACGAGGTTCAGGAAAGATAATCCATGCATAAGAATGATTAGCCAGGTTTTTACTGTAGCTGGTATGCATGTCATCTTTTATTGTGGAAGAAGGGCATTTTATTTAAGGGCATGTCTAGCATCAGGATTTTTAGAGCTTGACTGGACCTTACCTTCATATTTATATTTAGTGAATTACCTCCTAATTTTGCAGGTGAAGTAGCAGAAGATTGGGGAGTTAAGTAATTTGCTCAAAGATCTCCAAGTCATGTTTCCTACTCTTTCTCTCTGCCTTTAAGAAAAAAAATTTTTTTCTTTATTTTATGTTGTGTTTTTGTTTTGTTTTTTTTAATTTTTGGCAAGTTTAAGTATCAGCAATTTTTAAATAGCTGCTAGAAACACTAAAAAGAATTACTGAAAGGCTGAAAGAAATTTTCTGATTGTTGATTAACTGACACTTTACATAGAAGTTTAATAAAACAATTATCATACATTCTATTTTATAGATATATAATTAAGAGGACATGTCATGTTGAGATAGTGATTAAATTTAACTTTAGGAATTGATTGGGCTTTTATAAACCTGAAAGACATGATTAGAAGGATCTGCCTAGCGTTTAACTATCTTGTTGGACTACCTGGCAATTTTACATTCCATTTTCTGCAATGGAAATACAAATTAATTTTTTTTAAAACTCTCCAAGTTACGTTATTATTAAGTTTACTATAACACCAGTGTGTACTGTTGCTTTTTCAAAAGAAAAATATTACTTAATATAATTAGTAACAGATGAAGCCTGTGGCAATTTTGTTTAAAAGAGGTGTTGGGAGGGATGGCTGATCTATTTGTGAGGTTGTATTATTTATTTAAATAATGTATTTGTTTTAGTGTTGATGTGAACTAATAGTGACCTTGCTTTTAAGAATTATATATTTTAAAGGAAATGTAGTTTACTTAAAAATACTTTATTTGATTAATAATTGAAATTGAGATTTTATATTTTAATGCAGTATAACAAAAAGGTAATAAGTCATATTAGAATATGATTTTAAGACTAACTACAGAGAGGATATATATCCCTTCAGTTTTTTTTTTCTTATTAAAAAAATGAGGGTTTTTTTTGTTATATTTTGAATATGTCTTTTATCAATAGTCATGTTTTGCAGATATTTTCTCCTAGTTTAGCTTTTTTTTTTTTAATTGATTTCAGAGAGGAAAGAGGAGAGAAAGAAAGATAAAAACATCAATTATGAGAGAGAATCATTGATCAGCTGCCTCCTACATGCCCCACACTGGGGATTGAGCCAGCAACACAAGCTTGTGCCCCAACGGGGAATTGAACTGTGACCTACTGATTCTTAGGTCGACACTCAACCACTTGAGCCATGCAGGCTGGGCAAGAGAAGAAGGTTTTAATTGTTATGAAGTCCATTATTTCAAAGAATTTTTTTTAAATATATATTTTATTGTTTTTTTACAGAGAGGAAGAGAGAGAGAGAGCTAGAAACGTGGATGAGAGAGAAACATCGACCAGCTGCCTCTTGCACACCCCCTACCGGGAATGTGCCCACAACCAAGGTACATGTCCTTCACCGGAATCGAACCAGGGACCTTTCAGTCCGTAGACCGACACTCTATCCGCTGAGCCAAACTGGTTTCGGCTCAAAGAATTTTTTATTTTGTTGTTGTATTTAAGAAATCTTTGCCTAACTTAGGTCACAAAGATATCTTCCTACTTTTTCTTCAAGAATTGTTATAGGCTTTGTGTTGTTGTTCTTTGGCTTATTAGTCTGTGCTCCATCCATTCTTAGTTAATTTTGTATATGGTTCAAGGTATGCATCAAGATTCATGTTTTGAAATGGATAGCCAATTGTTCCAACACCATTTGTTGAAAAGACTATTCTTACTCCATTGAATTGCCTTTACACCATATTAAAATTGCCTTTGTACCTTTGTTGAAAATCAGTCGGCTACATATGTGTGTTTCTATTTTTGGACTCTCTTTTCTATTCCATTTACCATGTGTCTGAGTTTTGACTGATACATCTTTGTTTCAATTATTGTAGCTTTATAGTAAATTTTGAAATTAGGTGGTACATGGCCTCAAATGTTGTTATTATTTTTTTCAATTATTTTGGCTTTTTCATATTCTTTACTTTACCATACCCATTTAGAATCATACCCAATCTATTTATTTTTAAAAATCTTTGAATCTTGATTGGGATTGCATTGAATCTATTGTCAGTAATAATATATATTCAATATATTAGCCACATTAGATTTTCCAATCCATGAACATGGTATAACTCTCCATTTGTTTAGATCATTCTTGATTTCTTCCATTATTTTGGTTTTTAGCAATAAAAAATGTAGTTTAAAAATTGTAGTTTGTATTAAAGAAATTAGTTTTCCATTGTTGATCTATTATTGAAATATAATTAATATATAATATCCTATTAGTTTCTTTGTATATTATAGAAATTTGATATTTATGTATGTTACAAAATGATCACTGCAGTATGCACGCCTATGTTCACAGCAGTGCAATTTACAATAGCTAAGATCTGGAAATAGCCCAAGTGCCCATCAGTAGGTGAGTGCATGAATAAAGCTCAGTACATTTATTCCATGGAATACTATTAATCAATAAAAAAGAAGGATCTCACTCTTTGAGACAGCATGGAGGGATTTGGAGAGTTTCATGCAAAGTGAAATAAGCCAATTAGAGAAAGACAAGTATCACATAATCTCACTCATGTGGAATCTAAAGAACAAAATAAATTGATGAACAAAATAGATCCAGAGACATAGAAGCATGGGACAGAGGAAAGGTGGTAGTGGTTGCATGGGAAGAGATTAACCAAGTAACCCATGGGCACAAGCAATAGTGTGGTGAAGGCCTGGGATAGGGGGAAGGTGGGAGCCAGAAAGGGTCAATGGGGAATAAAAGAGGACATCTAAAATACTTCCAACAATAAAAATAAAATTTCTAAAAGTTTGCTTTTAGAGAAGTTTATGGATTAAAATGAGTATATAGCTTAGCACATAATTAGGATACAATGAAAAAATATAACCTTTTTTTTATTTTACTGTGCAACAGAACCTCACTGCATTCGTATTATTTTTTTTTACATAGGTGGAAATGGATATTGTTGAAAAACTGGTAAAAATGATACCTTGTGAGCATGAAGATCTGCTGAATATCACCCTCCGGCTTTTATTAAACCTGTCCTTTGACACAGGTCTGAGGAACAAGATGGTACAAGTTGGACTGCTTCCCAAACTCACTGCACTCTTAGGTATGCTTTTTTAAAATTAATGATAGTGTTGCTTGGAATTTCCAACATCATCGGAAAATTGAGCAGTGTGTTGAAATGTCAGCTGAACAAAAATTAAGTAAAATTGATGGCCTGGTTGGTCTGGCTCAGTGATTGAGCATTGGCCCATGAACCAGGAGGTCACAATTCAATTCCCAGTCAGAGCACAACTCAGGTTGTGGGCAGAACCCCAGAAGGGGGCATGCAGGAGGCAGCCAATCAATGATTCTCTCTCATTATTGAAGTTTCTCTTTCTCCCTTCCTCTTTTAAATCAATAAAAAGTATTTTTGAAGTAAAATTGATAGGTCTTGCATTTAATGATGTGACCCTCCATTTATCATAATTTGGCAGAATTACATATCAAATCTTAGGTCAGATTCTCAGTGTATGAAGATAAATAAATTATAATCCTTGTCCTAAAAGAACTCATAATCTCTTTGGTTTTTTCAATATTCATTCAGTCCACCTACCTTTATGAAACATGATTTTAAAGAAAATTTTGGGAAATTACAGAATACTCATTTCATATTTTATTAACAAATATCCCTCATTTATTGCTCACAAGTTATTGAATTTAACTTGAGCATTTTCTTTTTTTTTCTTTTAAATATTCATATATTCTTTGCTTAATAACTTTCTTTTTTTATTCAACTTTTTGGGATGACATTGGTCAAAATAAACATGTAGGTTTCAGGTGTGGGTTTCTGTGGTACAAAATCTATATATTGCACCATGTGCCCACCACCCAAAGTCAACTCTTCTCCTGTCACTTAATAACTTTCTTTAGTTCTTCCTTTTTATTTCACTTACAAGCCATGGAAGCAATGGCAGTAATTCATAAATTTAGAGAGTATCTACTGATCTTCCAGGGTCAAGGAAAGGCAGAAAATGACCATATTAAACAGAAATCAATACACACTAGAGAAAGAACAGTGCCTTCAACATCTGTGAAGTGCTTCAATGTCTATAAGTCTATATATATATATATTGCTTAGTTCTTTTAATTTAATTATTTTAATGGCATTGTTATTTTCTACTCTTTTATCTTTAAATTATGGGTTTTAATAAACTTCTGTAGGGTATTTATAAGGTGAGCCTCTAAAAAAAATGTTCCAAATCCCGATTCAATATGAACTTTTGGAACATAAAACCATGTTGTAAACTTTATCATGTCCCCAAAATGGCCCTTTTTATCCATCACTTCCCAGGAAAAATCTACCTAATAGGAGGACAAGGCTATGATTATTAATAAACAACCCTCAGATCTTAGTAGCTTAAAAAGGAGCAGTTGTTTATTTCTGGCTCATATTTCATGGGCGAGTGGAAAGTGCTGGTCCATGTTAGCATCAGTGAAGGCACAGACTGGTAGAAAAGAAAAGGGAGAATTGCAAACTTCTCTTAAAGGCTTCCACTTAAGAGTGATAAATATTTTTATTTCTATTTCTATTGATGAAACTAAGTCACGTGACCATGCTGTACTTTAAGGGGCTGGGTGTTTGCAAGGATTAGAACTGGAACATTGGTAACAAGCATCCTAATGATCCTAAAAGGTGTGTGTGTTTTAATTTTTTGGAATTTTAGCTGGTCTTCCAGGATTAACTAGAATCTCTTAAAAAATACACTCTGAGGTTGGGGGAGGTTATGGGGGTTAAGGACACATGTAATACCTTAATAAAGAAATTTTTTTTTAAATATATTTTATTGATTTTTTTACAGAGAGGAAGGGAGAGAGATAGAGAGCCAGAAACGTCGATGAGAGAGAAACATCGACCGGCTGCCTCTTACCCCACCGGGGATGTGCCCGCAACCAATGTACATGCCCTTGGCCGGAATTGAACCCGGGACCTTTCAGTCCGCAGACCGACGCTCTACCACTGAGCCAAACCGGTTTCGGCATTAATAAAGAAATTTTTAAAAATACACTCTGAGACATTTTAGCAAATACTGCCCTATGTACTATAACTAGCAACTGTAGTAACACAGAGCATACTGATTAAAAGCTAGAATTATGGAGCCACTCTATATGACTTTGAATATTGTTGTTTTCCCTTACTTGTTATGTGATATTTTGCAAATTTCTTAACCCATATGTCAGTTTTCTCATTTCCACTATATAGATAAGAATTGCATAAATAGGGAAAGGTTAATGAGATAGTGCAGTAAATGTTAGGAAATTATACATAATGTTAAATTATTTTAAAAATACACAGAATACAAATAATAGCTAGAAATGGGGCTTTTTTAAAGTTTTCCAGGCTTACACCATTTTATATGTAGGTCTTTCCAAATGGATTAAATCCTTCTTTTGTTAAACATATTCTTAAATTTTCCTTAATGACATGAACATAATTTAAATTTTCATTGAGAGGAATAGAGTATACTAATTAAAACTAGAGGCTTTGGAGCCAGAGGGCCTGGGTTCAAGTGCTCTGTATTAGCTGTTGCTTTTGTTATTGATTCAGGTTTGCAGTTCTGGAGATAATTTATTATACAAGGCTACAGATGTTACTGTGCTCAAGTATTTCCCCTTGTTGAATGGCCCCTGAATGCCATGTATTTTAATTTTTATATGCAGTTTTCCTGTTTCCCCTCTTGTCCTTGGCTGTCACTTCTCATTTCTTCTGCACTAGCAGCAATTCCATGGCAGCAATTTTCCTCTCCTCTAACAATATAGTTCTAATCTCCTGTGGTCTTGGAAGCCGACAGCTGAACTTATTTGAAGTGTATACTTCGTTAAAAATGAATTCCAAATGAATGCCCGAAGGGTTCTCTTCCTAATACTGTTCTCTTCCTAGCAATGTTTATTGCATGGACTTTGCAACATTTCTTTTGACTGTAAAGAAACTCATTTTGCTTGATTGTGCTCTCTGCTATGTTCAAAGAAATGTTATTCAGTGTTTAAATGATTTTCTAATAAGTAATGTTCATTTTTACATTTGTCAATGTAAATGTTACTTGTGTGGAAAATTAAATCATTAACTCCTAACACAATAAAATAAGCTTCTCAGTTGAGTAGTGATATGTTTAATATATCTGATCTTTTACCATTACGATTATATAGACGTTGTAGTAAGGAAGTATTATAAAGAGCAGATTTTAAAGGAATAGGAAATCATTCATCTAGAGCAGAGACTTTCAAACATCTCTTACCACAGTCTATAGAAAGATACATTGTACATTACAACTAAATACATACTTATGTGAAGTGATGTGTATATGTATGTGCACATAGCCATCTGTGTATATTAATATACATGATATTTTAATTATATATATTATATATTTAGTTTAATATATGTAATTTTTAAGCATATTTACCATTTAGCATATTTGCCATTCACAAAGCATATTTGCCATTTCTATGTGTAATGCCTTATATTTTCTTTTTTCTATTTTTTTAATTCTACTTATGACTTATTCATTGATTTTATGTTCTCTGATTGATTTTTATGTTCAGTTGAAAAACATTGAACTAAGGGAGTGATTAGACTTCTTTCCCTTTAAATCTTCAGAATTATCACTGTCTCTGCTGGACTTTTAATGTGTTGATCAGTTGATAATCTAAATTTTTCCAGGTTATTCTTTGAGAAATATTTGGAGTGATTACATGGGAATAATTTTTTTTTAAGTGCAAAAAACCTTCTGTAAGTCAAATAGATAAAGAATTCGGGCTGCATTTTCTTCACTCTGTAGTCACGAAGAAGGAAATAAAGAGCAGGCAGTAGACCATGAGTGGCCATTTATTTCATTAGAAATAAATGCATTGTTTAATGTATGTTCATGTTGACAAGTGACTGAATTAAAGAATTACCCATTTTATATATTGAAATTACTTATTTTTTAAAAGATTCAAAAAAATGCAAAAGCACTGTTGTAGAGCTATATATGTGGTAGAACTTGTCCGAAATGCCTTTTAAGGGATGCTGTTTCAACTGGAAATGCTATCAGATTTTAAGTAGGTTTTTATTATTATTTGGGGACCCCATAACTGAAAAATCTTTTTATACTTAATAATAGATTACTTTAACTAGAGTACAATGAATCATGAATCTTTCAGATTCCAATAAAGCTGTGCTGTGTGAACATTTAATCTCCTTCTCTTGTATCCTAAAACATTTTAACTAGTACATTGCGACCCCTGCTGTTGTGAGAATTGCTGAATAACTGAAAAATATATATTTTCAGTTATATGTAATGGAGAAAGGCTTTGTGATCTGAATAATTATTACAGGCAAAGGAGAATTTGTTATTGTTCAGCTCTTTTGCCATGTGAGGCTTTGAGTGAAAGGTAATTCAATATTGCCAAAATTTATTTTAATATTAATTTATTATATAAAGCATTTCATTTAAGAATTTTTACTTTTTTTCCTTTGACATCAGGGACACAAAGAGAAATAAGAAATTTTAGAAATTACTATGTAAATTCTCCTTTCTCCAACTTAATCTTGAAATTTGTTGATTTAAAGGGTTTTTATTTTTCCTGAGGCATAAAGAATGATGTTCTCTCTTGAAATGTTTCAAAAATTGTATTTGAATTTGTAGAAAACCTATATTGAAATATTCCTTTGTTTTTCTTTTCTTAAATACTACCAAAATTACTCATTTCTTATTTTATTTTTTTATAAGGAACCTAAAGTTATCTCTGCTTAGTTCAATATCAGTTACAAATCTTTTCAGTTCTTTTCATAGTTACTTATACCTAATAACTTTATGATTTCATTTGGGACACCAATCATAGCCAGTGGTTTATGTCATAGCAAATGTAATTATATGCAAATTGAATTTGACCTAGAAAACTTGGCTTTAACTTATCCAATTGATAGACAGTTTGTTCAGGTTTTTATGATATTGAATTAACTTTTTTTAAGTGCTTAAAGACTTTTTTGGCTCATCTAAGAATCAGATCATTTAAAAATACATTTTCTTGTCATAAGTCCTAAAGCCATCTGACCTTGATGTGTCTCAGGAGTGCTTCCTTATG